TTTTGCATCAACCTAATATATAGATAGATAGATAGATACTTTATTCAGGACCTGAGATAAAGTGCGCTAGATTTAAGATCAAAACACATGAATTCATACACATAACACGAAAAGGGCCGATAAAAAGCAACACGATATAATATATATAATATATGGGTAGCACAGATAACGTCAAGGGTCCACTCGAACTTCAAGATCAAGATCATCTACAGATAATTTAAAGGTTTCGAGATTATTGGACTCTCTCAAAACTCTGGGGAGTCGATTCCAAATTCTGGCAGTTCTTATTGGAAAAGAGTTATATACAAACTTATTGAAGGTGGCTCGAATTTCTAAAACGAAGAACCTCTCCTTGAACTAACCGTGGGATTAACTTTGAATAAATCTCGAAAAAGAGGGATAGGTTGCCCGTTCTTTACAATTTTGAAACATTCTATTAAATTCGTGACCAAGCGGCGGTGTCTAAGAGATTTAAGATCAAAAATTTTGAGTCTATCTGTGTAACTAAAGTATGCAAATTTGGAAAAATCTATTTTCCATAGAGCTATCTTAGTATATCTCTGCTGGATTTTTCCCAGGCGAGAGATATCAACTTGTGTATGTGGAGAGCAAACTATAGATGCATACTCTAGAATGGGCCTAACGTAAGTGATGAAACACTTTCTGTAAGTGTCATTTTCGAATAACAAATTGCTTTTGGGACACGACTAGAGACGAAAGAAGCTTTACGGCAATGTGTTTTAAGAAATTTCATTTCAATGTGTTTTGAGAAATTTAAAGGTGGGGAAATAAATTTCTTTCTGAAAATTTCTGGAATTTGGCTCCAAGTGACGATTTAAAAAAACTCTAATGTTCTTTGTGGCCCTCAAAGCCCTCAAAGAAGAAAGAGATAAGGCATCCCTTTCTTTTAGAAGTTTCTCCCCCTCATCCTCTAGCTGCTTTTCGAGTTCTCATTGCATTTTTCTATATCAACTTTCATTCATTAATTCTTTAAGATAAAGCCTTATCTGTGGAAAATGACAACATCTGATCATCTGATTGGAAATAATTTGGATTTGGCGTATAAAAAGTGTAATGTTCTTTGTGGCTCCCAAAGCCGTTTTTCGATTAAGTCAAATTTAAGAAAAACAAAAGTATTGAATGAACTAATGAGATTCAGTTTATTGTTATCAAATCCCCTTCCTTTTCCCAAAACCCAGATTCAGTCAATATGAAAATGCAGTGGAGAGAAGAAAGAGATAAGACATCCCTTCCTTGCAAAAGTTTTTGCCCTCACACTCTAGCTGCTTTTCGAGTTCTCATTGCATTTTTCTATATCAACATTCATTCATTAGTTCTTTAAGGTAAAGTCTTATCTGTGAGAAATGTCAACATCTGATCAATTTGAATTGGGAAAGTGTATTGGGCAAGGAGCATATGGAGAAGTGTATGAATTGAAAGGACACAAACCGTTGGTTATTTTTGATCTATTCACTGCTATGTTCAATATTCAGTCTTTTGTAGAGGTTGTATTGTACCATAAGCCTCTTTGTTTAGCCCAGCTGTGATCAAATATATGCAGCCAAAAAATGCTGAACAATTGAAGATCTTCAAAAATGAATGTGAAGCTTTGAAGAAGATCTATCATGTAAATGTGGTCCGATTGTATCGATATACAGAAGAAGGAATAAAAGTCGGAATTGTAATGGAATATTGTCAGAAAGGACCACTCAAGGGAGGTCGGAATTGGACTGGTATTGTTATACCTTAGAGTTTAGTGATTCTTGGTCCAACAATTACATATTCAATGAACACTATTCTCACCTGGGGAATCCAATTATTTGATGCCATTGATCACATGTATCAGAAACACAAATTGGTACATCGAGATATCAAACCAGACAAGTAATATTCAGTGGTATAAATGTCGAAATTCAATCCATTTATAGCATTTTTTGTGACCAATGAATACCAGCTGAAGATTGGTGACTTCGGTTTGGTAAAAGTAGTGGGAGATGGAACTGTTACGGGCATGCTTATTAGAACACAACGATATATTAGTCCACCTGAGATGAAAGAGGATGTGGTACAATGGAATGCTTATGAACAAATAAAGAATCCTGATGTAGCGGTTAGTTTCAACCTCTTTTCTATCCCATGATTGGATTTATTCATTCCAGAATTTCCATCGAAATGATGTCTACAGTCTGGGACTTGTTATGTGGGAAATCATCGAAAGGAGGTATTCATTTTAAATAGTGAGCTCCTTTGAGATAATAATAAGATTTCAAAACAGCATTTTATTGTTTTAGAACCATTTTCACAAACTATGAGATATCTGGAGTGTTTGATCGTGATCAATTATTGTTTGATATAGCACTCAAACGTGTTACTGAAATCGAATCATTTGAATGTCAATCAGAAATTCAAAAAATCATCTTCAGGTTCAGATTCAAAATTTTTTTTAATGTTTTAAGAATCCATCTATCAGATGTACTAACTTTTAACGTATTCATCGTCCACCAGCTTCTGAAGTCTTGGATTTCCTCAAACAAACACAGAAAGTAAGCTTTTCTAAAAGAAGTAGAATTTCTCGTCTACTATAATATTGGGTTGGAAAGTATGGAAAGTACGCAAATTTCATTTCACTTATTTTACCATTATGATGAACAGAATTTTTTTGTTTACTATTATATTGGGTTGGAAAGCATGAAATCTCGCAAGGTTCCTTTCACTCCTATTTCCTTATTTTACCATTAAAATAAATAGAATTTCCATGGTTGATGTAATATTCTGAGGATTACCAAATATAAAAGTTCAAGAGTCTTTTGTGGTAAAATAGCTGGGGACGGCTGGATTGAAGTTGACTTATGTTCGCATGGCATGCAAATTCGTGTTCCATCACGAAAGTTCTTCTTCCTTTAAAAATATACAGGGGAAACTTTAAAACAGCCAGCCTTAATTCATGTATAAAACAATTGGAAAAGCACTCCTTGGTGATGGTTTTCACATCGACCTGCGGACAAACATCTCCGAAATAGGCGTTCTCTGAGTGAAAACTGTCTAAACGCCCACTCTCTGGCATAGCTATCTTTGATTTCTATTCGATCTATTTTAATGGTAAAATAGGTAAATAGCAATAAAGGGAAATTTCGTAGTTCAAACAACGAGAAAAATACTGCAGAAAAGCGAGTTAGTTTTGTAGAAATACATTTCATACTTGGGTAGTTTAACCAAACATGTCCGGCGGTATGCCAGAGAGTGGGCGTTTAGGCAGTTTACGCTGAGAGAACGCTTATTTTGGAGCTGTTTGTCCGGAGATATGGTAGTCCTAAGAATTCTACATATACCATGAAAATTCTAGTTATTTTAGAGGCTATTTTAAATGAGTAACTAGAAGTAAATGGGAATTTGCGAGATTTCATACTTCCCAACCAAATAGTTGAGTAAGTTTTCTTTTTTTGAAATTTAGAACTTCTCAAATATAATAACCTAGGCAAATCGATTCTTCTCTTCACTCGCTTTTCTGCCCACAGAAGATAAAAACCAAGAAGAACTGATGAAACCAATTGGATTTGATGATGGAACAGAATGGGTTATGGTTGAATCTGAGGAAAAAAATATGAAAAGAGATTCGAGGAACATCGAAGTAGGGACATCGGAAATATCACCAGAATAATGCGAGATAAACTTCGAACAATAAATTCTGCGGAAAGAGAGAGATTCTTCAAAGAAGCATCAAATATTGTTTCAAGATTAAAAGAAGAAACTCAGAAATTCAAAGATGCGCGTTATGTGATTGAGGAAATATTGAAGATAGAAAAATGGAAGAAAAATTTACATGAAAAGAATATTTATGAAATATTTGAATTGTTTGTTTTTGGAGATTTTCAAGAGCAGCTCCGGGAAGAAAACATCGCTTTTAAAAGTCTCAAAAGTCACGAGGAGATTTGGAAATCAAGTTTTAGAAATTGGCGGGAGTGTGAGAATCAGATTAACGATTTCAAAAATATAAAAAGAGAGAAATACACAACAAATTTCTGGTTTCGATGTTTTATTTCGCAATTGACTGGTCAGAGATGGATTCAGATAGGATCGAATCAGTTTGTAAGTGAAGACTTAAGATTATGGAAACAAATACCAGGACAATGGGTAGACAATCCAAGAGCTGAAATCCGGAGCTATGAAGTTGAAAATAAAGACGAAAAACATGAATTGCTTCATTTCTCCCATTACAAACGAATCCTTTTGAACGAATAATTGAGATATTTAAAAAACAACAAGAAACAATGGAAACGATCATAAACTTACACTTGAAATATCTGATTCCGATAGAAGAATCGGAGAAGAATAATGTTCCATTTAATATTAAATCAATTCTCGATGAATCTTCTGAATTCAGAACATTCAGAAGATATTATGAGCCCTATTCCTTCCCCTACTACATATTCCAATTAAGAAACCCTCCTCGTCCAATTTGTCAAAAGAATCATTGAGGGGAATGTCAAATGGATGGGTTTAGAAAAATGAGGGAATGGTCAGATTTACCTAAAGAATTGCACATTCCAGTATGTGGTAAAATCACGGAAAATGAGGTTTTGTTTCTGGACAGTTATATGAGATGTATAAGATCTGATGGATATGTGAGTTATGATCCTCTCATGGAACGTCCATTTCTATTTCTTTGCTGTCAAAATCCCTTAAATATTCCATTTTTGATTCTCTTGGATCATCCAAACAATTATGAAAATGGGGAAAGTATTCTTGGATTTGATTTCGAGAAGAAACTTCATCATATTGATGTTGGAGTATTAAGAGAATACTTTCAAGAGTCAAAGCTCAATGAGAGGATCTATGCTTTGATCAAGTTTGGATGGACACCCTGCTTCCGCTTGATCGATTATCAAGGGAATCCAAAGACAGAATGGCTTAGGTTTAATGAAGCGGCCAAATTACCAATTCCTATGACCTATAGCCAATTCACTGGCCAATTCGACAAATATCGACCACCAATACCCCAAATGGCGCTAGCCTTTCAGCGAGATCCTGTAGAAGGGAATCCAAAGACAGAATGGCTTAGGTTTAATGAAGCGGCTAAATTACCAATTCCTACATTTAGCCAATTCACTGGCCAATTCGACAAATATCGACCACCAATACCCGTAATGGCGCAAGCCTTTGAGCGAGATTCTGTAGAAGGTGATCAATTGCAGCTGACATCCATGAGGGTTGACTTTTTGCATTATATTTGAAAGATTCAATTTTCAGATTGATTCAAAAACTTCGTCCACCCAACGTCCACTTCGTCCACCTCCACCCGCCCCTGTAGTACCTCGTTCACCTCCACGCGTCCCTGTAGTACTTCGTCCACCCAACATCAAGCAAAGTAAAAAATTTCCGGAAGATGATCCACAGGTTAGGAGTTTTCTTACGCGAAACCTTAGATTATGATATTGTGAATACTCTGATACTCTGAAAAATACTCTTGCAAACTCTTTGCTATATTGATTGATTATCAACGGATCTTTGTACGAAGTTATTTTTATGGTAGAATAAAATAAGAATAAAATTACGCAGAATGGAAATAGCTTTGGCGAGTGCAAGTTATGCGGTGAGTCATTTGAGGAGCCCAATCTACTTAACACTTTCGCGACAATGACATTTTTGGTATTTTGGTCTCAGAGACTAGAACGCTTTAGCGCTGGATCAACACGAAAATCTGTCTTTGGGATTTTCGTGGTTGGGAAATCCAAATCAGCCGTTAATTTTCACTTATGAAATTATAAACCAAGCCAGTCAAAACTTGGGTAATTAAAACGAAATGAATAAAAAGAGCGAAACTGAGTTTGGTTTCTGCCCCCTACAGGGTATTTAAAAATTCCCTAAATTTTCTCAAAAAGTTTAAGTAGCTCAAGATGGTGTCTGTTCAAAACTGTTCTTTGACTTTGACTTTTCCATATTTTAACAAATAACTAGATTAAATCTATAATATTCTTTTATCTACTTTATGTTTATATCTACCTATAAAGTACCTTTGAACATAATCGACATAATCTGAGAACATAATCGAAACAAATCTTATACTTAAACTATGCACACTTTTTCTCAAAAGCACTGGATAGGCTTAGGCTTGGACTTAGTGCGAAGGCTAGCGGCTAGCGCCTAGCACTAAGTCTATTTGGGTTTGGGCTGAACCCCTTAGGCTTAGGCTTAGGCTTAGGTGAGTGTCTAACCGAATAGTACCGAAAAGCTTACTAGGGATGCTTTTGAATTTACACATCGGTTTTGAGCCGAGACCTGGCACATCTTGTTCTTAGTCTGAGTCTCTAGAGTTCTATTAGGTTGATGCATAAGTCTTTTCGTTCCTTTTCGTCTGCCGTTTCAAGCCAACAAATGCACCAATTGAACTACGGTTGATTTCATTAGAAAAACCAATTATTTTTCTGCAAAATAACATTAAAACGGGTTTAAAAATATTTAATGCCTGGATTTTCTTGAGAGTATGAAGTCGGGTAGTCAAAAAGGGCTAACTCGATGATGCGGTTTAGACACCTTAGCTAAAGAAAACCTATTTTCGTGTCAATAGATAAAAGATAGAGAAAAAAAAGTTTGATATTTCGCCAAAATTTCAGAGAAATTCATTCAGCCAATTTTTCCGTAGAGTTTTTTATAGATTTTTACGAAAAAGGCGTTTTTCACTCTCGAATTTGCTTGAAAGTCAACCGAAATTGATTTAAAGAGATGGAAATTGAACAAAAAAACACTTTTTTTATAGAGCAAACTATAGATTAATTGGTGAATTTGCTACTTTTTAACAGAAGTACGAAAAAAACGAAAAGACTTATGCATCAACCTAATAGATCTAGCGCTGGATCTAACTAGGCCGGCACTTGGGCCCAGCTCCGTGCTTGGCTAAATGTCTCCTTCTAGGATATGCCTTTCACCCCGTCAGTTGCACAATATCAAGACCTCGACCAACCACAGCCACATCAACCGCACCAACTCCCACCACCTTCTGGTAAACGAAACGATAATAAGCTAACAGACTACTTTACATTGTGCCCATAAAATTTTGCATATTTACAGATGGCTTCGACTTGAGCATTTACAGATGGAATATGAATCTTGAGATGAATCAGCCCGAGAACGTTGATTGCTTTGCCGTTCAGTCCGTGAATCCGGATCTCGGTCAGTTAAAGGCCTAAGCCAAAATTTGACTTCAAGTTTCAGATCAACGACCACCCGAGGCTTTCAATACAGCGTACCCTGAACATTTTCAAGGATCCGATCAATGTGAGTTGTGCCAGAAATAAAAAGAAATCTTTTTTGCAGTCGGTTTTGAACCGTATCCAATGGGAGGAAGCCAAGAAGACCTTCAGGATCCGGATCAACCAGGTGAGATTTTAGAAAGGATAACTGAGTTTTCCTTTCTAAACCAGCTTATTGTGATCTTTCTTAAGGCTAAGCCAATAAGGCAAGACCATAGACAGGGCCAAACCTGGCTTCTGGAGACCTCAAGCTTTTATGGTCCAGGAAAGCAAGCCTAGAAAACAATCAAGCATGGCCTTGAGGGCCCAGGCCATACTAGGACCTGATCCTGGCCTATTCAGTCTATGAAGTTGTCTGAATAAAACCGTGCACCAGGTCCATCTCATCGTTACCACATTCCACAAGCACCAACGTTTTCCGACTTCATCTACGAGGTCTTTTAATTTACTTTTCACACGTGATTGGCATAAAAATCTAATCTATCAAAAGCACTAATTCCAGAATCCTTCTGCACCAATTGACTACTCATCCTCCTCTCTTGACCCATCACCAGAAACTTCTACTTCCTCAAAAGAAGAAAAACCTGAAATGGTTAATGTTATCAAAACTGGAAACTCATTGTTAGAGATGGCTCAATTCAGTAAAAGAAAAGAGATTTTCAGTCACGAATATTCCAAACTATCGATTGGGCAAAAAAGGAAGTTCAAAGAGAAGAGCGCTCGAGATCTGAAAAAGAGCAAACAGCCAACTTTTTATAGCGATTATCTTTACGAATCTTTGCAAGGAAAGGAAAAGCCGGAAAGTATTGAAGAAATTTTTGATGATATGAAGAATTTGCATCTTCGAGCCCAGCTTGATGAATTTTTGAATACTACTTCCTCAAAAGAAGAAAAACTGGAAATGGTTAATGTTATCAAAACTGGAAACTCATTGATAGAGATGGCTCAATTTAGTGAAAGAAAAGAAAGTTTCAGTCGCGAATATTCCAAACTATCGATTGAGCAAAAAAGGAAGTTCAAAGAGAAGAGTGATCGAGATCTGAAAAACATTAAACAGCCAACTGTTTATAGCGATGGTCTTTACGAATCTTTGCAAGAAAACGAAGAGCCGGAAAGTATTGAAGAAATTTTTGATGATATGAAGAATTTGCATCTTCGAGCCCAGCTTGATGAATTTTTCGACGCGTTTCTCCTCATCGAACGCATGAAGAGAACCCATTTCGAATTCAGTCTTTTGTATCAACAATTAGCCGAATGTCTCGAAAGATTGAGGCCGTTTAAGGATTCAATCTATACGAGGAGGATACAGTTTAATTGTTATTATTCAACGTTAGACAAAGAAAGCTGGTTATTACTGAAGCAAATCGATGCGAATACCTGCTACCTCACTAGATTTATAAAAAAGGATTTGAGCACTGTGAAATATCTTTTTGGAGCAAGCATCGATGATTTTTCTGAGGATGCGCCTCCGAAGCTGCTTGTCAACAAGAGATTTCTCAAACATGAGGTGAAAACAATTCGGGAAACCCTCCAAGATACTGAACCCAACTTGGTCTCAGTCTTCGAAAAAGAGCTCGATGAACAAGAGTTGGTGCAAACAGAGATACTCGAAAAGTTTTCCGATTACGAAGAGCTGATATTGAAAAATCGGGAAACGGTCGATTTTGTTACAGGTGATCAGAGCGGTGGAGGAGGCGCAAAGGGCAATCGACTCACGATTTGACACCCAAAGCAAAAGCAATAGGAAAGTCGAGGAGCCCCTTTTCAGAAACTTGGATTTTTTTCGATTGCGGAATCCTCAAAGCCCATCTCACCAATGCTTAAATCGAGAACAATGCAAAAAAATTTATTTTCCCGAAGATCTCCACTTGTGCCCGTCAAAAGCAAAACTTTTCTATTACGAGTGTACACCTGCTCAAGAAGTTTCCTTAATGAAACGTCGATTTACTTTTTCCCAACTTTTCAACGAGCTTTCTGAATTCAAATCGCCCCTAAGAGAACTAAAAGTTAAAGCGGAAGACATGCAATTATCGGATTTACATCAGAAAGAAAGCCTTCTGTTTCTTACTTATCCTCTAGCAAAAGCCTCGGAGAAAGAGTTTGTCGTTTTGCTGGACGATCCATTTGCTTATGCACCCGGTGAACGAATTTCCTGCTTTGATCGACGGCTAAAGTTCTACACTATTGATGCAAAGATTTGTCAAGACTTCTATAAAGAATCTGGTTTGAAATTTATGCTTGGAATCGACATGAACTTGAATGCCTGGAGAATTAATCACTAAAAGCTTTTTTTGTTTTTTGTCGTTTGTTGAAAACCTTAAAGCTTTCTTGTGAAAAATAAAGTATTTAGAAAAAATAAGTTTCTTTCACCTTTTGGGCAAATATCCAAATTTGTGTATTTGTTATTATTTGCTAAAGTAACATGTCCAAACTGCTAACAATAGCTCTTTTAAGCATAGTAAAGTAACCATGTCTTATGAAGATAAGAAAACCTAATTGTAAACAAAGATATTCCGTATAAATATAATTATAGCTTTGTTTTAATCGGTTTAGAATGAATTTGCAAAGAGATTTCACTCGGCTATTTGCAAACGACGACTACCAAAGAGAGGAACTTGGCACCGGAGGTCTAGCTGTTGTCAACAAGCTTTGGCACTACCCGTAAACTTTTCAAACCATAATCTCAAAAATCTTTTTCAAACATCTTTAAAAACCATTGATAGGTCAACTTTCATCGGCTTCTTTAGAGCTGCTGTTCTCAAATGTGCAAAGTATGAAGATGAATATGGAGGAGAGCTGGTTCAAAAAGTGAAAGACGAACGAAAAGAGAGGATCAAATGTGAGTCGGAGGCATTAAGAACCCTGCAACATCCGAATATCGTCTCCCATCTCGGATTCTCCACTTGCAATGATGACTTTGCGTTTATCATGGAACATTGCGAACGTGGTGACCTGGCATCTTGTGCGTTTGTTTGGCGAATGTTTTGTGAGAATCTGAAGAGATGAAAAATCTTTTCAGTAAGAGACGACACACACGTCGCCTTTCCACTCCAAGTCGTCATTTTTTGGACTGTTGAGCTTTTCGATGCTCTTGCCTACCTCCATCATCGATATATTGTACACCGTGACGTCAAACCTAATAAGTTTGAGTTTTCTTAATGAGAAATTCAACAGATTCTAGCATTTTGGTCACCAAGGTTTTCTCAGTAAAACTCGGCGATTTTGATTGCACCACAATTTCGGCGGGATTTTTGCGGAGAGCTGCGGTCGGGTCGGAAAGGTACAAAGCTCTGAATCAAGCCCAGGAAGAATCTCCACAAGTAAACTGCTTTAGTCTTTATACTCTAGCCAGCATTGCAGAATTCACCCAAAAATGACGTCTACAGCATGGGGCTCGTTATTCGAGAACTCGTTCAAAAAAGGTTAATGAACCCATAAACTTTACTATTGGGTTGGGGAGAATGAGTCGGCGCCGAACTTTAAAGGGACTTTTTGCACACATAAAGCCTTCTTTAAACATACGTTTGGCTTCATCAAAAGGATCCACTATTTCTCTACAAAATCACTTTTGAGAAATTCCACAAAGCTTTTCTTTCGTGGAGTTTATGAACTTCCAGCTGGTTAAAATGGCAAAGAGTCCGACTCATCATTTGAACAGTTTCTTTCACATAAACCTTCTTTGGTGTTTATATAAAAAAGATAGAGCACATTCAATTACTTAAGTTGCCAAATTTGCAGGAAGATCCCACCAATGGTTTTTTCTAGATCACAGTTTGTAGTTTTTGTGAAAAAATGGCTTTTTCTTGAGCGGAGGCGCTGTTTGAATTTTCTTTTAAATGTCATTTTGCAGAGAATTAGTTAACCATTCTACTCATATCAAACGCATATTATTTGACGAAGTCGAATAGAAGTTTTAGACATTTTTTTCATTTTCGGCGCCGACTCATTCTCCCCAACCCAATATTTAAGCGAAAGTTGCAGAAAATTTTGTGATAATCTTGACGATGCGGTAGTGCCCTATGAGCTAAACTACCTTGCCCTTCAACAACAAAAGCTGGAGATCTCCGAATTAGCTTTAAACCCCGAGCTGCGTGATCTTTTAGAGAGGCGGGTCCACAAATAAAAAATTTTACAGACAGTTCACTTTTATAAGTTTTGCTAAATTTTCAGATGTATTCGATTTGAGAAAAAACAGCGGCTGATCTCGGCGTGGGTGAAAAGGAAACTATTGAAGTTGCAGGTAATTAAGAGCTTTTTAGAAATAAACTTTCACGAAATAAATAAACTTTCAGGAAGTTTTCAACCAAGAAGACAATGTTTTGGTGGTTGATTCAAGATTAACGCAGCGAGTCTTGCCAACACATTTTTCAAGGCCAGCAATGACAAACGGGCACCCGCCTACAATTTACACAGTCGGAGAGGCCAACGACTTATGACATCTAGAAGTGGCTGCCATTCAAACTCATCTCGGTAATGCGAGAACGAACTACGAAGAGAAATTGAGAGTGTTGACGTCTGGAGAAACACAAACTTTTAATCTCAAGAAACCCGAAATCGAGAAAGGCAAACGATTAGAGCACTCGATCTTTCAAGGATTTGATTATCACCGAGGGAGGATCGTCGACCGAAGTGAAATCCCCAACGAAAGCATTGACGATCTCTACAAGGATTTCCTCGATTGGACAATCTATCAGCATCTCCACGAGAAAACCAACCACATTTTTCAAGCAGTCAGTGCTTCGAACGTTGACTGGTGATTTGTAGAATAGTTTTGTCTTTGTCCTAACTGCCAAAGAAAATCCCTTCTTGCTTTGTGGTTATGTCAGTTATCGGTGGGATTTTTTTCTTGATTTTTGTATTTATTTTAGGTGAGATTTGCTAATAAATTTTTATGTGAAATGTATAAAAAACAGTTATTGAATGCATACTTCTTGAAGAAAATAAATAAAAACGATTCTTTACCTGTAAATGGCAAGTTTCTTTGGATTGTCAAATTATAAAAACACTATACGCTTAAATTTTGGAGTTTTAATGCTTATAGTTAAAAGTTTTGAGCCAAGATCATTTTTCCTCAAAAAAACTAAATTTTTACTGCAGGCTTGTATGAGGAGAGCCCATCTAAGGCCTCGGAGGATTTTTTTAACATGCAAAAACATCTTCTTTGGGTTAATTGAGTGTCCAGTAAAAAGCAAAATTAGATCTTAAAAAGCAAAAATGAAAATTTCGATTTGGAAAAAGTTAAAAAAAGAAAAAGGAAAAATTTAAAGCAAGAGATTGAATAGAGAAAACCACATAGAATAAAACTTGTCATTTACATTTTTCTTTTAAGCTTTTGTTTCCAAAACTTTGCTCCCACAATGAAATATGGCGGAAATTTAACACTGTATAACCAGTAAAATCGATTTTCAAAAAATTTGTCGGAGGTTTTGAAAAATTCTTTT